GGCAGTGAGCCAGTTTGATGGGTTTCATTTATTGAAGTTTGAAGTAGTTGTCTAGAATGTCCTAGTAGGGGTCTGGTAATTAGAAGGTTAAGGAGGTGTGCCCTGAAAATTAAAGTGGTTTTGTAATTCTGTAATAGTGCTTTCGATTTTTTCATGATTAGTAATAGGGATGTGAATTGTGTAATGAAGATTAGTTTGCTCTAAGTAAGAGGTAATTTCAGAGAGTTGAGATAGAAGTAGTGGTTTGGCTAAGGTATTTGAGATTATGTGGATCTTGATCTATTCACTTGGGATTTGATAGAAAAAGTAGTGTTCTCTCAGAAGTTGAGCAGTGTCAACTAGTGCCTTGGGGCTTGTGATAGGTATAGTTAAGTTAACTTCAGTGATTAGGTTAGCTTTACTAGGAAGTGAGGGTTTGTTTATAGAATTGACTATTATGTAAGAAAGTGGAAAAGGAATATTGAATTTATATTTGTCTTGGATTTCTGCCACAAATTTTTTTGCTTGGTGTGTATCAGAGATAGAGAAATTATGGATTCCAGTTGTTTTGACAGAGCATGGATCCTTTGGAAGTGGTTTCTTTTGTACAAAGAAATCGTTAAAAATATGTCAGAAGCTGTAGCGTTCTCTAAGAATGTCAACATATCTATGAAATTCTGATGCGTCAATAGAATTATAGGGAAATAGGTGGCGAATTGCTGAGGTGAGGTTTTGGGGTGTTGATGGGAGCCATAGTTTTGCTTCGGGTAGGTTGAAGTAGTTTGGGGGTATTCTTTCTACTATGTAGTATTTCATTAGTTTTGAATAGTATTCGGAAAGGAATGGTAGTCTGGCCTGTTCTGTAATTAGGAAGAGATCTCTAATTTCGATGTGAAAATCAGCTGGATCATCTGGAAGTGGTTCGAGAACCATGAAGAAATAGCTGTCAGGAAGTTTGTCAAAGGTAAAGATTTTTCGTAATGCCAACACTGTGGCTTGAATGAGTTTATGGTCTTTAATTGGTAGCGGAAAAGGGAGAATTTGTTGGATTGGCAGTTCTATTTCAAGTGGGTCTGGTGGTAGAGAAATAAGTAAGGTCGAGTGTGCTTCGTTGATCAATCTACAGAGTTCTTCAAAACTGGGTTTGCAGTTTATCTGTGCAAAATTAAGACAATATGTAATAATTCGAGTACAGTTGTAGAGACTATTGGTAAGGAAGTCTGTGTTGCATATAAAGTCGATAGCTAGTTTGGCTTTGAGTTTGGCAAAGATTTGATCCCTGTTGAATTTGTTTATAAAGTGGATATTATGCAGTCTTTTGTATTTCTCTATTGCTATTTGTAGAAGTGAGTTAAATTCTTTCTGGTATGGTGGTTGTATTTCTTTATTTTTTGTGAAGGATCAGAAAAAGGCCAAGTCAAGGTACTCGAATTTTGTTTTAATTGCATTTGGTAGGTTGTGTTGGGTTGGATTGGTTTGGATTTTGTATTAAAGAAATTTTGGAAGAAGCTCTGAGGATGAGAAAGTGTTGATGATAGTATCATTATCCCAGGTTGTCATGTCGAATTCCTGTATATGAGCTTTTGCTAGTGTGATAGTAACTGCATTACACTAGGTGAGTAAATGGTCATCTTTGGAGTGTTGTTTTTTTTAGATAGATTAGAAGTGAGTACGCTGCTATATAATTTCTTTGGGGGTAAGAGTGATTTGATAGTTGTATTGGATTGGATGTCCATCTGGTTGTCTATCTCTTTGTTTGATTGGGTTTGTCATATGGGCTTAATGGAGGTCAATTGTTGTGGATCTGAGTTTCAGAGAGATATCTTGGTTGAGGTCTGGAAATGGATCAGGTGTGTTGTGATGATCAATTACCATGTCTACAGTCTGAAAACTTAGATTGTATATATTATTTCCTATGCTTGTTTGTTTGTTTATGTTAATTTCCACGCTATTTTGTTTGTTTGTATTATTTCTCACACTTGTTTGTTTGTTTTGTTCTGATAATATTATAGTTGTTTTTGACAGAGGTTTACTAGATTTTTCACTTTGAGTTGAGTTTTTTGGTGCAGGAAATGAGGGTTCAATAGTAGCGGTGATGGGGATAGTATTTGTAGTGTTTTTAGATTGTAAAGTTATTTTCTTCTTTTTGAGTAGTGGTGGGTTGTCTGGTAGAGTAGGGTTTTGTTTTGTTGGCCGGTTGTCTGAGGTCCTGGTGGGATCCTTCAGAGTAGCGCTTGTTTGAGTTAGAAAGATGAAAAAAGGTTCAAAGGCTTCGGGAGTAGAGAGTAATGCGTTTCTGTCTCTTTTCAGCTTTGTGTATATGACTTGGGGTCTAATCTATAATACTTAGTATGGCCAAAGGGCCAAAAATATATATAAAAACTATTTATTTTGTATTTTTGCGAGTGTTTTTCTCTTAATTTTTGTTGTTTTAATGATCTACGGGAAAGAGTTTTTTATAATTATAATTATTATTATTATTATTATTATTATTATTATTATTTTTTTTTAACTTTGATAACCTCACACAAATTTATTAGACATATGTAAGCTTAGACCAGCTAGATTATCTAAAATCATATTTGGCTAATACCCGGCTGCTATAAAAGTGCTTAAGTACAGTTATTGTACTGATGTTGGCTAACAAATCCTACATGCACTGCTACATGCATTTAAAAACTTGCTATAACCTGGTACTCAGCTACCTTTGGCCTTTAACTTTTCCCATCTAAGTCCAGGCAAAATAGTTTATCTCTTACATTTTTATAAGGGAAGAAAATATATACCAAATTTGTAAAAGAAAATTACAGGTATTAAACCATACAAAAAAGAAAAAGAACCAAATTTTCTAACTTGAATTCGATTATAAATGGACAGAGATGAAACCAGCAAAAGCCAAAAAAGATACAAATGAACAGAAAGAAAAGAACAAAAAGGAAAAAGAAAATATACACTATTAAGCCTGTATACAAGACTAAAAAATTATATACTAAATGCAATACTTGTATATCTCTGTTGTAAAGCTTTGCCTTAATATAAGAACTTCTTTTTAACGTATGACCAAACTCAGAAATGATCCAGATCTACATACTAATCTTTTAAGGTAGCACTGTGACTATATGTATGGTTAAACAAACCACGTGGTTGCAATCTACTGACTTGTCTGAATTCTGGGACATTTCTCTCTTTAATTATAAAGTATATTTTTGTTTTTGATGATGAACGTACTCAAGCTAATGCGGTTTGGACTTAAGCCATATTAGAACCTATATTTAATGAAGATTATGTTTCTTCTAAGATTGATGCTGATTATGTTGATATATGGATTCAAAAGCTGACAAATAATGAAAATATATATAAACTATTTATTAATAATCTTACCAATTTTTTTTAAACATATTTTATTTTATTTTATTTTATTTTTTTTTAAAATACTGTTTTGCAAAAAAGTCCTGTAAATTCTCCCACAATATCAGAAGCAGAATCTTTAAATGCAATTTAAGAAAATTACAATGAATTATTTTCAAATAGTGCTAACAATAATGAAAGTGATCATAATAGTGATAGCAATTATGAAAAATAAGCACCAAGTATTTTATACACTTATATTTGTTATTAATTGCAAAAACAATTTAAGTAATTTGATTTGAAATATGTATGTATTTAGTATTAGTTCTAGATTTTGCTATGTATTGCTAAATATATTAAAAAATACATATTATAATAAATAATATTGTGTTTAACATAATAATATATATTTTAAAATGGTATTAGCTAATAAAATAAGTTGTTTAACATAGTAATATGTATTTTTAAACAGCATTAATTAATAAAATATGTTATTTAATGCATTTTTAAGTTGTTTATTAATACTGTTAGTCTATATAGGGTTTATTTTTTTACTCCGGTTAGTGTTAAATAACAACCAGTATTAGTTAATGCTTTTCAAACACTTTTCAAACTTCCTGATGATGGATGACACCACATGGGTGGCTCTCAATCATACATCACTCAAACAAATCCTCATATAGCCTCCTCCTTCTACCAAATAGCTAAAATTACAGTTAACTCACACGAGTTAATACTTTTTCACAACAACCCAAACAATGTAAACCCTATACTTTTTCAAGATTAACCTATATTCACCTCCCAGCCAAGCATACCTTTAGATTCCTAGGAACTTATATCGACTACTTAATCAATAATCGTTATGTAATCAAAAAAACTCAAACAAGACTTTTACACAGAACTAAACAAGCTAAAATTCTCTAAAATCACTGAGAAACAAGCTATCTACATTATCAATTCAGTCCTACTAGCCCGACTGCAATATCAACTCTCAAACATATATCTTACTACATCAAACTGTCAATCTATAACATGTTGCTACACCACAATAGTAAAACAAAAAGCCTTCTTGACTTGTTCTATTCCTATTTCCCTCCTATTCCACCCTTACACTTATGCACTAACAAACACCCTTCAACTACAACAAATACACTATGCATCAATCCTTAAAACTCTCCTTAACTTATCTATATTCCTATCAATCTTTAAGCTATGCCTTCAATAACTCCAAAATGACACCTTCACTAATGTATCTATACTTACCAACCTACTAATCTTTACATACAAAGAATACAAAATATTTACTATCCACCTTATAACTAATATTCACCATCTTAATATCTAATATACAAGCACTAACATTGGCCCAACCCTACTTCACACCCCTGGACACTCTATAAACTTCATTCTTTGCAATCTAAAAAATTGAACTTACATTAAATACTGTTTAAACCTATGTCAAATCTCAGCAATTAAACAATTCACTAATTATGACAACACTATGACACTAACTTGAAAAAGCTTCTATTACAACATACTCAAAATATTCTGAGGTCGTAAACCTAAATAGTTTACAATAATTACAGAAATGCTATGTGAACTCACCTCACCCTCACTTCAACTTACTTTTTCTAACCCCTTTATCTAGACTCTTGCTCAAAACCTAATAGCAGATAGTGCCAACCCATCAACACAACTTATCCATCCAAACCCATTTTTCTACAAGAAAATCAAGCTCACAAAACTAAACTGGATTATTACACCTAACAAAGCATTTGGAAAAATATCAAGCATTGACAACCAAGTAGCAACAATCAAACACTACACTCTCGATCACAAC